GGGATGGAACCAGGATTTAGGCAAGTACTCTAACAGCTGCACCCTCAACTCATTCCTAATCTTTTTTTTTTTTTTTAAGAGAGAAACTCTGAGGCTAAATTATAAAGGAAAGGAAGCAGAGAATAGGGGACTCTAAAATAGTCATTTGTTCCTTAGTGGGAGAGTTAGTGAAAGCCATTCTGCCTTGTGTTGAGCTTTGAGTTGCTTTGGTAACTCTAGTGTTGCAGACCATTGCTGAGTTCAGCTTTAAATCTGTTTTTATATAAACTTGGATTCAAATGTTTTTTGTTTGATTGGTTTTTGTTTTTACTTGAGATAGAGACTCATTGTTAAGGCTTGGCTGATAGGAATCTCTTTAGACCAGGCTGGCCTCGAACTCACAGGTAATCTACCTACTGTTGTCTCCTCAATACTGGGGATTAAAGGTGTGTACTGCCTCACCCAGCTGTCTCTTGTTTCTGTATATTCTGTATATTCTGTCTCTGTATATTCTGTTCAGGAATACAATGCACGCATTCAGGAGGCAAAGGTAGGTGGAGCTCTGTTCGTTCAAAGATAGCCTAGTCTACACAACACATCGATGTCCAAGCAGGGCCACATAATAAGATCTTTGTTATCCTTGTCATAAATAAAATGTAATTACAAGATATTAATAGTTTATTTTGTTTTGTTTTGAGACAAGGTCTTGTCATGTGTCTCTGGTTTTCCTGGAACATTTTGTGTAGAGCAAACTGACTTCTGACTTCAGCAATCCTATTTATGCCTCCTAAGGGCTGAGATTATGGGCATGTACCTGCATTATGCCTTGAAAAGTTTGTGGTTTTATTGTTTTATTTAAATAATTTTTTTCTTCTTAATTATGTGTATATTATATCTATGTGTGGGTATTTACATATGAGTGCAGGTACTGTGAGAAGGCAGTGGGGCTGGAATTCCCCTAAAACTGGAATTGAGCCATCTGATAGGTCTTCTGCAAGAGTGGTAAGCTTTCTGTAGTTCTGAGGCATCTCTCCAGCTCCATTCCCCTGTTTTTTCTTTGCAATTTTTTTTATTATTATATGCATATGTGCCATTACATGCATATGGAGGTCAGAGAGCAAATTTCTAGAATCCATCCTTCCACTATGGGTTCTAAGGATCAAAGTCAGGCTGTCAGACTTGCTGGACAAATGCTTTTAACCAGTGAGCCGTTTTGCTGCCATCCAGATGCTTACATTTCTTATTTGTGTGTGTTTTGTTTTGCTTCTGTGTACCTTGAAGGCATTGTGTCGGGCAGAAGATGAAGAAGATATCCGTGCAGCCACCCAGGCCAAGGCTGAACAAGTGGCTGAGCTTGCAGAATTTAATGAGAATGATGGGTTTCCTGCTGGTGAGGGAGAAGAGGCCAGTCGGCCTGGGGCTGAGGAAGAGGAGATGTCCAGGGCTGAACAGGAAATTGCAGCACTTGTAGAACAGGTCAGTATAGATCCACTACTTCTTCTCTTCATCTGCCAAAACTTACGCCAGGACTCAGACCTGTTTTTCCCCCATCTTCCTTGGTGATAATAAATACTGGTGATAGGCCCCGCACTCTTGGTCCTTCTGTTTATCCAGTTACTCTTCTCTACAGCTGACTCCCATTGAGCGCTATGCCATGAAGTTCCTAGAAGCGTCATTGGAGGAAATAAGCCGAGAGGAGCTCAAGCAGGCAGAAGTAAGTCTTTCTGGGGAATGAAGTAGTGGGGAACTGATCATTTCTACTATGCCTGGCTTTGCTCTACCTCTTGCTGACCATATTGGACTTGTTGTTGGTAGGAACAAGTGGAAGCTGCCCGAAAAGACCTGGATCAAGCCAAGGACGAAGTGTTTCGACTGCCCCAAGAAGAAGAGGAAGGACCAGGGGCTGGGGATGAGATGTCTTGTGGGACTAGTGGAGGCAGCCACCGGCGCAGTAAGAAAGTCAGGGCTCCTGAAAGGCTGGGGACTCGTGTCAGTGAGCGTCTTCGTGGAGCTCGGGCTGAGACTCAAGGAGCAAACCACACTCCTGTCACATCTAGCCATCTTACCTGCAACACCATCATGCCTCCCCAATGCAGCCCTGTGAGAGAACGAATTCCCAGGCCAGTGCCTAGGCCTCGACCTGCCCCTGCTCCCGCCCCTGCCCCTGCCCCTGCCCCTGCCCCTGCCCCTGCCCCTGCCCCTGTCCCTGTCTCTGCCTCCACTCCCGCTCCTACTCCTACTATAACTTCTGCTCTAGCCCCAGCTCCCATACCCATTTCAGCCCCAAATCCATTAACCATTCTTCCTGTCCACCACATCTTGCCTACTCCTGCACCTCTGCTTCAGCTTCCTCCATCTTGTTCTCCTAATTACATCCCTCCTGCTTGTGCCCCAATACCCACTTGTGCCCCCTCACTAGCTCAGACCTCTCATTTGACCTCTTCACCAGCCCTGCTTGATTCCCTCCCCATTCCCATCTCTCCTGGAGTTACCAACCTTCCCTTGGACTCAGGAGACGTGGAGCTGTGTGCACAAGAGTTGGTACCTATGGAGTCTCTAGAACTGCCTGGAACCGCCAATTCTGAGGCTTCCCTAGTTAGCCTTGCTCCCCCAAATGATCTTTTGCCAGGGCCTGTTGATATTCTGCCTGAGTCAGAGAAGAATCTTCTTCTAACTCCTGTACCCAGTTCAAACCTGGAGGCTGACAGCATCCCCAATGGCCAGGAGCAGGAGGTGCCAGGTCCTGTCGAGGGGACCAGTCCCACACTGCTACCTGGTAGTGAGGAGTTGACCACGAGTCTGAATGAGAGCAATGGGCTGGAGCTGCCACCCTCAGCAACATCTGATAAGCCACTTCAGGAGGTTTTGGAGGTTCACAGGAACTTGGAAAAAATGGGAGAGGTTCAGATCCCAATTTCTAACCCAGAAAAACCACAAGAACTTGTTAGAGCTGAGGTTATAGCCCCATCAACCTCATCTTCAGCCACCTCCTCTCCTGAGAGTCCTTCGCCTGCCCGTCCCCCACGGCGTCGCACCAGTGCTGATGTAGAAATCAGGGGTCAGGGGTCTGGCCGGGCAGGACAACCCCCAGGTCCCAAAGTGCTTCGAAAGCTTCCAGGACGGCTAGTAACTGTAGTAGAGGAGAAAGAGCTTGTGAGACGGCGGCGACATCGGGGAGCTGCCAGCACCCTAGTTCCGGAAGCTAGCACCAGTCCAGGAAGCCCATCAGCCCACAGCATATCAGGGCCAGAATCCTCACCTCCCAGCAGTGGGCCCTGTGAAGCTGCTCCGTCATCCTCACTGTCCACCCCAACCCAGCATCCCTTCATAGCTTGTCGACACATTGAACTGGGTATGACTGGTGGGGGCAGCCCAGAGAATGGAGAAGGAGCAGAACTTGCCATCACTCCACCTGCTGTGAAACGTCGGAGGGGGAGGCCCCCTAAGAAGAACAGGTCTCCAGCAGATGCTGGGAGAGGGGTGGATGAGACACCTTCGTCCGTCTCTAAGGGGAAGACCAATGGGGTTGACCCAGTTCCTGGGCCTGAGACAGTAACTGTTGCAGAGCCTGCCCTCAGGTCTCAGGTTGTTCCTGGACCCCAGCCTCTTGGACCTGAACCAGTTCACAGACCAGAGCCCATCCTATCACCTGTGGAGAAAAGACGACGTGGGCGTCCCCCTAAAGCAAGGGATTTGCCTGTTCCTGGGACCATATCCTCTCCAGGGGATGGCAATTTAGAGAGCCGGACACAGCCACTCCCTTTCCCAGCCCCCCTGACACCACTCCCACCACTCCTAGCCTGTCCCACTGCTGTCGCCAACACTGTCACCACTGTCACCATTTCAACATCGCCACCTAAGCGGAAGCGGGGTCGACCTCCCAAGAATCCACCATCACCACGGGCCAGCCAGCTCCCTGTCTTGGACACCGACAGCCCTTCTGCCCTTGAGAGTTGTGGATCGGGGGTGCGGAGGCAACCCCTGGGCCAGGCGGAAAGTGAAGGCAGTTCCTCTGATGAGGACGGAAGCCGTCCTCTCACCCGCCTGGCCCGCCTACGGCTTGAAGCAGAGGGGATGCGGGGAAGAAAGAGTGAAGGGTCCATGGTGATGGCCGTGATTCAGGATGACCTGGATTTAGCAGATAGTGGGCCAAGTGGGTTAGAACTGACACCACCTGTGGTCTCATTAACTCCCAAATTTCGGTCAACCCGTCTGCGTCCAGGGTCTCTAGTTCCCCCACTAGAAACTGAAAAAATGCCTCGCAAAAGGTCAGGGGCTCCAGTCGGGAGTTCTGGGATGGCAAAGCGGGGCCGCTTGCAGCCCCCAAGTCCCCTGGGGCCTGAGGGTTCAGTAGAGGAGTCAGAGGCAGAAGCCTCAGGTGACGAGGAGGAAGGAGATGGAACCCCACGCCGCCGAACCGGTCCCCGCAGGCTCGTTGGGACCACCAACCAAGGGGACCAGCGTATCCTGCGTAGTAGTGCTCCTCCCCACCTATCTATCCCTACTATTAGTCACAGAGGTCGCAAGGCCAAGACGTGAGTGGGTAGGCCCTTCACCTAGGTATTCCACCATGGTCGCTTCCCCACGCCCAGGCCTGACTCTGTTAACCACTACTTGAAGTCTGAGGGGAAAAGCCTCTAGGGAGACATAGGGGGCTGTCTCCCTTTCCACCAAAGTAGGGGGTAGGTAACTGGTTGTCATGGAAATGGGGCTTGTCACAACCCCCCTTCTACCCTACATGGCTGGGCAGTGTTAAGGGTGGCAAGGTAGTCTCTGACCCCACCCCCTTGTACTTGATTCCCCAGCTGTCTCACAGCCTCAAACCCTTAGGGAAAAGGGGGAGGGGCTTTTCTTCAATGAGGTGGGGTGGGTTTGGTTTTTTTTTTTTTTTTTTTTTTTTAAAGAAAACATAATAAACTTAGTTTCTGTACAAGCATCCGTGTAAGGAGGCTTCTGATTTTATGGTCTGGTGGAGGGTTGGGTGGGAACTTGGATGTAATTTTTCACCTCCCTCTTGCAATGATCCCATACCTGATCTTTAATACAAGATTGTATACTTTTAAGTCAGAACTTAACTCCTCTCTGTCAAGAAAAGGGAAGATTGTCAGATATGATCTGTTAGGCTGGTAGTTCTCAGTTCACTCAGACATACTCTTTCTCAGACTCTTGAACTTGCCCTCAGCTCCCCACACCTTGGAGTCCCTTTCACCCTCCTTGCTCAGGTGCTTCCTTACACTCCTTTCTTCAGAAAGCAGGCATCCTCCACTTGCTTCATGCCTTGGCCCTCCTCTGCTCTCCACCTAGCCAAACTGGTTTGAGTTGGCCATGCCCCTTCCCAGCTCCCTGGGCTCTTCACATGGTGGCTGGCCCCACAACTCTACCTTGGCTTGGCTTGGAGCCATGAGTCAGCTTCATCTCCACCCAAGCCAAATCAAACCTGAGGCAGGAGCCGAAACTCACAGTCCCTCAAAGCCTATAGCCAGGTAAGAACCTGTTTGTGTTTATAGTTTCTGACCTAACTCCCTGGGCCCTCTTGGGCTCTTCTCATTGGCTGACAACTTCAGTTCTTGCCTCAACTTGCACTGCAGCTTTGCTACACGTCCTTTTGTGCTCTCGTCTCTCATTTTGTGCAGTCTCTTTACTTGTGCTTGGCGAACCACAGGTGGTTTCACTTTGTCTAAGCCGTAGGAGAATGATTGGGCATGAGAGTGGAAAGGTATTGTGATGAGCATGGAGGGCCTGAGAAGGAGTAAGAGAAAGGCACTATGCAGGGGTCTGTGGGCAATGAGACCAATTTGGACTCTGGCACAGTCTGATTTATCTTACGCGGCATGGGTTAAAATGAAGAGAGAAGGTGACAGGAAGGCATCATTACAGAGCTATGTTCAGCGTTTGGGTTTTGTTTTTTTATTTTCTGTTATGTTTTTGTTTTGAGACAGGATCTCTTATATCCTCAAACTCCAAGGTAGCAATGCTAGTCTTGAACTCTTGATCTTTCTGCTTCCACCTGTCCAAGTCGAGATTAGAGATGTCTGCCACTACTCTTGGGTCAGATGTTTGTTTTAAATTTTTTGGTTTTTTTGTTTTTACTTTTTATAAACAGCAAGAAAAGAAAATATCTTAACTGTGTGATTTTTTTTTCCTTTCCTTCCTCCCAGAACTATTTTCATGCTGGGTGTGGTGGCGCACGCCTTTAATCCCAGCACTACCACTCTGGAGGTAGAGCCAGGTGAATCTCTGAGTCCTAGGCAGCCTGGTCTACATAGTGAGTTCCAGAACAGTCAGAACTATATAGAGAAACCCTGTTCAAAAAAGAATTATCCTAGCACAAGGGAACAAAGGCAGGCGATCTCTGTATTTGAGGCAGCCTTGTCTACATACTGAGTTCCAGGCCAACCAGGGAGAGCTAAACGGTGAGACCCTGCCTCAAAACAAAACAAGGCACCTTCTTAAAAGGTTTTGAAATTTTATATCCTGCTTCTCAATATGCATGTCAGTTTGCTTCTTTGTGCTTATCAAACGAGTATATTCACATATTTGCCTTCAGAGACCTAGACTCTACAGTGAAGGAAAGCAGCCCACCCACGTATTTATTAGTTTCCTGCCTTGAGTCATTGGAGGAATTTCCCAGTACAACAGCATTCCTAAGTATAGGGGTAGGACAGTAGACAGCATGGTTTGAGAAGGGTGGAGTCACCACGCCAGAACAAGAGCTCATTTGTTGGGCTTAAAAATACCTTGACTATCGCCCACAGGTGATGGAGGACGAGGAGAATGCAGCGGAGAGCTTGATGAGCAACATGGAAGCTGCTCATTCTCCATCCCCTATCCACTGCTGCTGGCTCCGCCTCCGATACTTGGCAGCTACTAGCATTATCTGTGGCTGTTCTTGCCTGGGAGTCATGGCTCTTGTGTTTGCTGTCAAGGTGAGGAATAAAATTTCTGTGGGTACGGGGGTGGGTATAAGAAAATGATTTTGTGTATCTGATCAGTCTACAGTTAAACAGTTACTAAATACCTAGTGATGCTTAGCTATGGGCTTAGTGTCTGAATAGGAATTCATTCACAGGACCCATGTCTTAATGAAAGAGATAGCTGTAGAAACGGAGGATTAGTAGAGTGCAGCTCACCAATACTATGGGACAGGGGAAGCACAGGGTACTTTAGGAACAAAGGAACAAGGAAAGTTGTTTGTGTGTGGGGGTGGAGTGAATCTTTTAGAGTGAGTGGCTTCCAAAGGCCCTAAAAGACAACAAGGAGAAGGTAATTTTAAAGGTGAATGAGGGTAAAAGGATAATCCAGATAGCAGCAGAGTGAGCACTGGTGTGGGCTAAATGAGGAGCACTCAAGATTGACACCAGAGATCTAGATTCCTGAGGGCTTCCAGTTCTGTACTTGGAAATTGTGACTTTATCTCGAATACTAGAGAGCAATGTAAAAATTATTTCAGGGGAGTGACATGACCAGATTTGTGTTTTTGGAAGATCTACTCAAACCCTCCTTTGAGGTTGAACCACAAGGGGCCAAACTACAGGCAGACAGTTGAGTAGTGATGAGAGCAATATCCAGGATGTGGAAGAAGTTCAGTTGCTAAAGATTTGCCTGTCCCCTTTTTGTGGCTGGGGTGGGGATGGCATTACTAGGAATTGAGCCCAGAGCCTTGCCCATGGTTAAGTGCATTGTCACTGAACCCAGCATACAATGTATGCCTCCTGAAAGACTATTCAAGTTAACATTCTGGGATTTTTCTCACCCCTCTTGACAGTCAGAAAATAACCCTGCTGTCACCATAGGAATTTCACTGGGGCAGACTCATAAAAAAGAATCCTTGATGATAAAAAATGATGATACATATTGGACCCTGAGTGATCTGACTGGATGTGACTCACTTGAGTTACAAATTTCAAATTCTGAATGAATGAACATAGGATAGATAGAAAATAATGGGACTAGATGGACTCAAAAGTATTTTCCAGTCCAGAAATGTAATTCAGCAGAGTACTTGGCTGGTGTGCCCAAGCCCTGCTTTCGGCACCATACCATAAAACTAGCCAAAGTCATTAAACAGCACTTTCCCCAGTGCAGTCTTCTAAGCTGACTATGGCCAATTGAAAGGTACGCAGGAAGGCAGTGAATGGTTTGTGTTGTAGAGGAGAAGAAAGACAAACGAAAGGATGTAAGATGTTTGGATGTGCGGTCATGAGCTGTGATATATCAAAGAGTGGAATGGGCAGTGGACACTTTGGGCCTGAAGCAGGGGGAGAATCTAACCAAGAACCTGCCCCCACAGGCAGAAGAGCGGCATAAGGCAGGCCAGTCGGAGGAGGCCATATACTGGGGGGCCCGGGCCCGGAGACTCATTCTGGTCAGTTTTGCTGTCTGGTTTGCTGTCCTTGTTCTGGGTCCCCTGCTGCTGTGGCTTCTCTCCTACACCATTGCGCAGGCTGAGTAATCCTGGATGGCCTTTGCTGAGAGCCAGTCAAGACCTGGATCCAGTCCAACAGTGTGGCAGTGCTCGGTTCTGGTGACAGGAGTGGTTCGTGGTTCTTCCTGTCTGGAAGGACATTGCCTTTCTCGGGAGCCATTGGAAGAGCCCATCTAGGCTACTCAAAGCACCTGAGACTTCACGGGGAGGTCAGCCTGCTCTGTTCTTTCATTACCCTCTGCTTTATCTCTCCTGCCCCTCCATCCTAGGAGCCTCCATTCAGAGAAAGGGTTGAAAACCAGGCTTGATTTTGTTAGAATTTGTTTTGTAATAAAAATCTTTTTTGGTGGTGAAATATTGTCTTGTTTTTTTTTCCTGCTTTCCCTTGGGCCTTTGATAAAGGCAAGACTCATACATCTAAGCCTTCATCCGCCTTCTAACTTCTATCTAGTTGCCCCCAAGACAAGGATAGGATGATTTTGTGTGTGTGTGTGTGTGTGTGTGTGTGTGTGTGTGTGTGTGTGTGTGTTTTGGAAGTTTCCCTTGGGGAGAAAGGGGGGAACAGCTTCTTATCTATCAGCCATGACTGTTAAGTCAGACAAGAATAGTAATGGTAGCTAGCACATGTTTATTGAATAGTTGCTGCTAGGCTATGCTCCAGGCACTGTTTATTTCTTCTGAGTCCTCACAGTGACTCAATAGAATAGGAGGTACCACTGTTCTTTATAGTTAAGGAAACGTGTATATGTGTGTCCTTGGTCTGAAAACTTGAAAATAGAAAAGGTAGGTTGAATTCAGACAGAAAGTTTGATTCCAGAGGGATGAAAAGATTAGATTACAAGAACATTCACCCTTTATGCTGACGGTTATATGATTAAGTATATTTTATATTCTTCATCTTGGGGTCTACAAATTTACATATCGGGATATGTTTCTGGGTTTTTATTTTGGTGGTTTAGTTTTTTCTGTTGTTGTTATTGTTGTAGTTTGTCAGATTATGCTCAGAGTTGCTGTGCCTGTGCTGGAATTACTGGTGTGCACTACCATGCTTGAGTGTTGTTGTTATTTTTCTTATTGTTGTTTTGTGTTTTAACATAACAAGATCATGTTGCCCATTCTGGCCCCAAATCTGATCCTCCTGCTTCTGCCTCCTGAGAATTACAGAATTAATTATGGTAGAATTACAGATGAATGCCACCACATTAAGCTTAAATATTTTCGTAAAGTTTTGAAACGTAACCCACAGGCAGATTTCCAGACAAATACACAGTGTAAATTCCCACTTAGCCAGTACCTGAGGCTGTTATCCAAACTGATTGTTGTCAGCACTGGGAAACCTTGATACCCTCTGATCATTCCTCACAAGTAGCTACTATTCTGACTTCTCACAATGTAAGTTGGCTTGAATTTGCTTTAGAGAGATGACAACCAATCAAGAAATAAATGTGGCGCACACCTTTAATCCCAGCACTCCGGAGGCAGAGGCAGGCAGATCTCTGTGAGTTTGAGGCCAGCCTGATCTACAGAGCTAGTTCCAGGGGGCTGGAGAGATGGCTCAGAGGTTAAGAGCATTGCCTGCTCTTCCAAAGGTCCTGAGTTCAATTCCCAGCAACCACATGGTGGCTCACAACCATCTGTGCCCTCTTCTAGTCTGCTGGCATACACACAGACAGAATATTGTATACATAATAAATAAATAAATATTTGCCTGGCAATGGTGGAAGAGCTAGTTCCAGGACAGGAACCAAAAGCTACGGAGAAACCCTGTCTCAAAAACAAAAGAAGAAATGAATGTTTAAATTGGGATATATGGGCTGGGTGTTGGTAGCGCACCCCTTTAATCCCAGTACTTGAGAGGCAAGTGATAGGAGAATCTCTGGAGTTTGAGGCCAGCCTGGTTACAGAGCAAGTTCCAGGGCAGCCCAGACTGTTACACAGAGAAACCCTGTATCAAAATCAGAAGGGGGGGGGGTGATATATGAAGGCCAGAAAAAACTTCCACAATTGAGAACACTTGTTTTTGCGGAAGACCTGGGTTTCGTTCCCTGTAGCTACATCCTATTCCCACCTCCATAATGGCAGTTCCAGGAGTTTCCAGTGCCCTCTGATCTCTACAGGGCAGACAGTCTTACACAAAGTATATATGCATATATACACACAAAAATCTTAAGGGGATACAAGAGCACCTTCCTCAAAAATAGTGGCTAGAGAAATGAGTGAGGGAGTTAAGAGCACTACTGCTCTTACAGAGGACCCAGGTTTAGTCCCCAGCACCCACATTCAGCAACTCTCTGCTCCTAAGGGCATACACATAAATAAAAATAAATTGGGCTTTATAGAGATGGAGTCATATCTTTGTTGTCTTTGCTCTTAACATTGCATAGTGAGTATTGTGTATAGCTGTAGTTTTGTTGCTGTTATATGAATGCATTACAATTTGTTAATTTTCTGTTGGTAGCATTTGGGGGTGTTTGCAATTCATGAACATTATAGAACCATGCTACTATGGATGTCCTTGTATCCCTACCCCCTCGTTGTTTTTTACACAGGGTCTCACTATGTAGCTCTAGCTATCTGAGAATTCACTATTTCAACCAGGCATCACCATGCCTGCCTGGGCTCTTGTACTTGTCTTTTGAAGTTTATGTGCCTCACAAGTAGAATTTTGAGTGACCTTACCATAATTCAGAAAGAAAACAGAAAAGATACAGCTAAACAAATTAGAGATGCATACACTGATGAGAGAGAGAAGCACATGATGTCTGTCTTCAGCGTTCCAAAGTCCTGTGTTACTTCTGGAGAGACAGGAACAAATATGTTCATCCTAGATAAGACACCAACAGCAGACCAAGGAAACAGTTCAAATCTAGTGTGATGAACCAGTGAGTTTATTGGGGTCATTTGCAGGAACATGGTAACTCAAAAGTTATTGAAAAATCCACCTCACCATGGAAAATAGCTCATGAACACTGCAGCCCTGGAGCTCATTGACCATGTTTCCTCCACAGTAGTTGCTTACTGATCGTACAACTTAAAAGAAAGATTTCATGGGTCTTATCTTTCTGAACTTCCTCATTCCTAAGGGCCTCCTTTCTCTTGAAGGGAGCAACTTTCAGTTAGACCGAAACAGCTGTACAACACTCCACCGCTTTAGTTCTGAGACATCGATTTCACCGCTTTAGTTCTGAGACGTCGATTTCACCTCTTTGAGGACATTCCCTGGGGGATTTTTTTTGGGGGGAGGGGTGTTTTGGTGACTTGTATGATAGCAATGTCTGATCAGTTTTCTTCCATTTGTGGTTGAGAATTGCCACAATGCCATAGCAACAGTCACTTACTTCCAGTAGCTTGAGTAGCTCTGAGTGTCTGCCATCATTGCAAAAACTTTGCTGGGCTAGACAGATGACTTTGCAGTTAAGATCTATATCACCCTTGCAGAGAGGTTCTGGCTTCAGTTCCCAGCACTCTCACTACCAACTTTGAACCCGCCCTAGGGAATCTGCTGTTCTCTGGCCTCCACCGCAGCTATATACATGTATACACATATGCATGCACAGAGTTTAAAGTTAAAAAAATGGTTTTTTGTTTTGTTTTTTAGTTGTCCTGGAACTCGCTCTGTAGACCACGCTGGTCTTGAACTCACAGAGATCACTTGCCTCTGCCTCCCAAGTGCTGGGATTAAAGGTGTGTTCCACTACCACCTAGCTAAAATAAAAAAAAAAAATTAAGTTTCTTTTTATAACTGAGGCTGATAGTAGCAGTAACCAATGGATGTAAGCAAAAATCATTGTTACCCACATTGTACCTTCTGGTGTTTTTCGTTGTTGTTTTCTTCTTGTTTTTGTTTTTTTGAGACGGGTTTCTCTGTAGCCCTTACTGTCCAGGCTGACCTTGAACTCAGAGACCTTCCTGTCTCTGCCTTCTGTGCTGGGATTAAAGACTTGCACCACCACTGCCCCGCTGGTATTTTTGTTTTTTGGTTTTTCTTTTGTTGTTGTTTTGTTTTGTTTTGTTTTTCCCTAAAAAGCTAGCCAGCGGAAATGGGAGCTCATGACTCAGTCTAGCCTGATTTCTTCATATCCTACAACCAGTGTAGTGTTTCAGCAACAGAACTGCCAACTAGTTTTGGGATGCAAACAACAGCAATGACAAACTCTCCTGAGTAAATTGGGAGCCTAAGGATCTTAGGAGAAGGTAGAAGGGGAAGGGAGAAGAAGGGAGGGAAGCAGGGAAAAATATATAACTCAAAAAATTATATATAAGGGGGCTGGAGAGATGGCTCAGTGGTTAAGAGCATTGCCTGCTCTTCCAAAGGTCCTGAGTTCAATTCCCAGCAACCACATGGTGGCTCACAACCATCTGTAATGAGGTCTGGTGCCCTCTTCTGGCCTGCAGGCATATACACAGACAGAATATTGTATACATAATAAATAAATAAATATTTAAAAAATTATATATAAAAAAACCCTCCATCAGAAACTCAGTGTGGGGTTAATTTCATTGAAAACTTCCATTTTCCCTGGAGATATAGTCTTAAAATAGTTAAATTCTTTTAGTTGGATATTCTGGAAGTACATGTAATCAAGACAAGGACATTCTCCACCCTAAAACAGTCTGCATCTAAAATCATCAATAAATAAAACTAACAAAAAAAAAAAAACCAGCAATAACAATGGCCTTTAAGGTTTACAGGGCTCCAGCGGTATTCGGTCTTCGTTGCAACAGCTCTAAGAATACAGTCCGTCCCTGGCACCATGGTTTCAGAGAGTCACTTTCTAAACACTGGGTACCCCTGCTGAAATTACTTCATTGTCGTTGTTACTTCTCTTTCAGATGTTTCCCAGGTCTGTGAGACAGTCCAGGCATTATATATAATGAGATATATAGCATTATATATAATGAAACTTTTATCACAGAGGACCGGTGGCTCTCTTAAGACCTTTCCAGCAGAGGATACTATGAGAACATTAGCAAGATCCAATACAACATATGAATTAATTATCGGGAGTGTAATGTTGGGTGCACAGTCAGGACAGTACCTTCCAGAATTCACTTTTTCCTTGAGCCATCTGGTCCCATTCCTAGGACACTGCCTTTGGACTGATAGGGATACGTCATCTCCAGCATCCTGAATGATCTCAGGAGAGATAACCTGCATTGCCTAGTCAGGTCCAAGTGAAAGTAAGGCCAACGAGGCACGTGTTGTCAGTGTTGTCACTGGAGCCAGCTTCCAGGGTCCGTGGGTCCTAAACTTAGGCTTGACTACTACTCTCCATTAATCACACCTAACTGCACATCAGCTCCACCCTTTGTATCTTTTTTCATAGGGAAGTAATGTGCTCTGGGGAGACTTGC